ATTTCTGTTGTGTTGAGCTTGAAAATCTCATGACTGAATCCTTAGAACCTTATACCTACCTGTAAGTGTGAATGCTTATATAGCAGATCATAACTTAACATAGGAATTTGGGTAACAGTTTGCAAGTGCTCAAACCTCCAGTAGGTAGCGGCATACAACCTAAATGTTTAAGGATTAAGTGACCCAAGAGCTGCCTAGCTGGGAAACAGGATACAACTACAAATAAACAGTGCCATTAAAGAGCAGACTGACAGACTAACAGTAAAAGGTGGTGTTGTAACTAGAAGCAACAAGACACGGAATGAAAGTCAGAACCAATATAGAGAGAAAGATCAGAAGGTAAAGCAAATCCAGATCAGCTGAAGAGGATCACATGCTAAAACGAATACAAGTCAGAACAGAAGAGCCTAGCCCATTGGAGGAACAGTCAGAGGTTGAAATGCAACAGCCAGAACAGACTAAAGCAAATGGATAAACAAGCACTGGCTGATGAGGGTGGAGCCCCTAGGTAACACAGAAGAAATGAAGCATAGGTGACAGAAAACAGAAACAAAGGAATAAGGCTACATTTACTCTAGGTGCGATCAGATGCGTTTAAATGCTTTTCTAAATGCATATACAGTGTGGCAAATAATTTGATCCCCTGCATATTTTGTAAGTTTGCCCACTTACAAAGAAATAAAAGGTCTATAATTTTTATCATAGGTGTATTTTAAATGATGGAGACAGAATATCAACCAAAAATCCAGAAAAATGCACATGATATAAATATTATAAATTGAGTTGCAGTTCAGAGAAAAATAAGTATTCGATCCCCACGCAAAAACATGACTTAGTACTTGTTGGAAAAACCCTTGTGGGCAAGCACAGAGGTAAGACCTTTCTTATAGTTGGTTACCAGGTTTGCACACATCTCTGGAGGGATTTTGGTCCACTCTTCTTTACAGATCTTCTCTAAAAATCCTTAAGGTTTCTTGGCTGTCGCTTGGTAACTCAAAGTTTCAGCTCCCTACATAAATGTTGTATAGGATTAAGGTCTGGAGACTGGCTAGGCCACTCCATGACCTTAATGTGCTTCTTCTTGAGCCACTGCTTTGTTGCGTGGCGGTATGTTTTGGGTCTTACCTTTAGCGGAGAAACAGCCCCAAAGCATAATGTTTCCACCTCCGTGCTTGACTGTAGGGATGGTGTTCTTAGGGTCATAGCATTTTTCTACCTCCAAACATGGCGAGTCGAGTTAATGCCAAAGTGCTCAATTTTGGTCCCATCTGACAGCAGCACTGTCTCCCAATTCTTCTCTGAATCATTTAGATATTCATTGGCAAACTTGAGACGGGCCTGTACATGTGCCTTCTTGAGGAGGGGGACCTTGTAGGCGCTGCAGGATCTCAATCCAGTGTGGTGTATTGTGTTACCAATTGTTTGTTTGGCGGCGATGGTCCCAACTGCCTTGAGATCGTTCACAAGCTCCTCCCGTGTAGTTCTGGGCTGATCCCTCACTTTTCTCATGATCATCCTTACCCCATGTTGGAAGCTAAAATAATTGACATCTATGATACATCTTTGATGGAAAGGTTCCTTAATATTGTGAGCTGCCCGTGCGGTTTGATATGCAAATGAAGACCATCAAAGGGTTCTTGGGGCTGGACACTGATCAAAGGAGATCTGCTGGACTGTCATGTCCTGGGGCAAGCCCGACCCCCTGCTGGTATTTACTGCCCTCACCTGTGTCAACAAGGCATGTATGCTGGGATGGGGGCAGGGGCATATGATGGAACCTTCTTCCTGTGTGACACTAACCTAGCTGACAAGCAAGACCTTTGGACAAGACAAGTCTTTCTGAACTCTGCAATCAAGAATGTGATTCGCTGAGACCTGCTGGAGAGGCGTGTCCGAAGAACAGAGAAAAACCGATGGCTTGTGTGAATGAGAGGGAGAGAATGGTGTAGCTAGCTGTAGGATCCTTACCCTCAATTCCGATCCCCAATTCCCCTTTCAAATTCCCTTAATTGTATTAGAATGTATGTATACCCCTATTTGTAAATAAACCCGACACTTATTTAAGATTCAGTTGTTCATCAGTAATTTAAGGGCACCCCCAAATCAGAGCACATTCTACACCCCATCAGGTGAAATCTTGCATGGAGCTCCAGACCGAGGGCGAATTATGGTTATTTTGTATTTCTTCCATTTGTGAATAATCGCTCCAACAGTTGTTTCCTTCTCACCAAGCTTCTTGCTGATAGTTTTGTAGCCCAATACAGCCTTGTGCAGGTCTACAATCTTGTCCCTAACGTCCTTTGACAGCTCTTTAGTCTTGCCCATGGTGGTGAGGTTTGAAAGGCAGAAAGATTCTGTGGACAGTTGTCTTTTATATACATAAGGAGTTGTCGTAAGGAGAACCTTCTTACATTGACAGGACTAATCTGTGTACCACATAGCCAGTCTGTGGGATCCAGAATTATTGGTGCTTGGTAGGGGGATCAAACACTTATTTTACTCACTGAACTGCAAATCAATTTATAACATTTGTATCATATGTTTTTTTTCTGGATTTTTGGTTGACATTCTGTCTCTATCATTTAAAATACACCTATGATCAAAAATTATAGACCTTTCATTTCTTTGTAAGTGGGCAAACTTACAAAACCTGCAGGGGCATCAAATTAATTTCCCCACTGTACATGCATCTAATAATTTTCAATGGATCTATTCATACATTGCATTGAGATGCTTTTATTTGCAGTCAGTTTATCTGTGTTTAAAACTATAGAAGTCATCTGCATCTAGGAATCAATTTTAACTTCGAAATCTCCCAAAACACATGTAAATGCATGTACACATGTGCAAATGCATACAAAAGCAATTTGATGCTAGGATTTGGTACCAGATGCATATAAAGACGCACCATTCAATGCATCTAGAAGCACAGGTACAGCCAGCATCTAGCCTGGCAGAATTTTCTCTGCATATAGAGCATAAAAACTCAAGTGGCAATTGGGAATGAAGCCTGGCAGGACAGCCCTGATGGGAAAAAATCCCCACCAAATTTGAGACTTTAAAACAAGAACACACACACACACACACACACACACAGACACACACCACACAATTAGGTAGTAAAGCAATAATTAAGATGACAGGCCCAGAGCATACACCTTTAAAAAAGCAATGACCCTTTCTATCCTCACATGCTTTCTTTATAAAAAGGAAGTTTTATTTCAGGTTAGCAATTTTTAAATATCTTTTTTTTTTCTTTGGCTTAGTCAGAGAAAATCTACAGCACTGTTGATACATGAGCAAAAGCATAAAAAGAAATAAAGGCAAGTTAAAAAAACTACCTTTATTTTTTATTTCAGTTACATACTTTTAAACAGGGATTTATTCCATTATTTTAACATTCAGGCAATGTTGACTTCATTAGTATAGACAGGGAAAAAGCATATAAATGCAAAACATTGTTGGCTTAACCTGAACATACCTGCATTACCTATTATTGACCAGTTAGTGCTGCCAAAAAGAGCATCCCCTTTACATGGCAGCAAACGGAGCACTTAAATATTGCTAAAAAGCAAATGTCTACATACTGGTCATTGCAGCAAATAAAGGGTTTTGTATTTTAAATATCTGAAGTCCACAATTGGATTAATATACACATTTTCTTGTTATGTGTGATGAGTTCAGATCATATAAACACTGTACAGGCCAAATAGCTTCTTCTCTCCACAAAAAAGAAAGATCTAACAAGAAAACAAAATAAACGTGTATAATATAACAAACACAAGTTGCTGCATGTATTTACAATATGGTGCAATAAAATTTGGTCAAATACTGTAGAGACAGAAGTGATTTCACATTAGAATGGCCACAACTCTCATCTTTCATAACGAAAAAAAAAATATATATATGTATTTATATATATTTATATATCATTCTTGAGTTTAAGACAGTAACACAAACAAGGCAGACTGAGAACTGCAGTACGGATTATGCCATTGACAGAGGGATGAAATTAATGTATTTGACCAATTGAAAAAAAGAAAAAAAAAAAGAAGAAGTACAGCGACAGTGGAAAAAAAAAAGAAAAGAAACAACCATCATCACATCAGTAATTTTTCAGCGTTTTTATGTGAGTGCATAAACCATCCAAAAATAAGCACTGCACTCTTGGTTGTTAACAAAATAAATTACAAATGACAATTAAAATCCCTGTAAATGCAATAATGAACTCAAAAGATGTGCATTTATCTATTTGCAATAAACAATGATTTATGTTACCACAAACCAGACTTAAAAAATAAATAAGTTAGCTGTAGAGCGTGTGTTGATAGACAAGAAAAAAAAGTTTGAACTAGGAGACTTTTGGATTTATATTTTGACATAAATTAACCAGTTTGGTCAAAAATTTGTTCTAGCCAGTTCCCTTAAAAAAAATAATGATGAAAATACAGGTCTGGTTAAATGCAATAGAGACAATTATCATGGCTTCACCGCTCAGAAGCTACAAGGTTCTGGATCAGAACATTACTGGACTTTGAAGTTGATGTCATCGATAAACCTCAAAATTGTTACTGAGAAATCACTCCTTCTCCCCATCCCCACAAAAAAAAAAAGAAAAATGCAGACACTTCTCTGAAACCAGAAGAAAATTCATGGAGAAGAAGTGTCCAACCAATGCTTTCCACCATGCTCTACTACAGTTTGGTTGAGAACGATTCTGAAAGCATCAGCTAACTGCAGGCATACACACGACAAGTGAAGCACCCATCAACTCAGCTGCTCCGTGCTGAAGAGTAAAATGGTTTTATACACCTATCACAAGAGAGATTTGAAATTTCTATTAAAACGGAGTAATATGCTTTTCTGCATCAAGCAGTATGCAAAGTGCTTTCCAGCTACCATATCCTTATTGTATTAATTCCTAACCGCCTGACTCCTTCATGTAGTGTTAAACTTGCATCAGTTGAATAATATTTTTTTTTTTAGGTGGGTTTTTTTGCGTTACCAAAACATTACCAAGAAGCACAAATTACATCATGTACAATTAGGACTAAAGTCCTTGCTGCTTCTAGTTCTCTCTATCACTGCGAGAGGTACAACATAAAGAACTATTATATTTACTGCTTAGGAGTCTGTGTCTGATTGCTTTTGTACATTATCCCCAATCACGTCCAGACAGGTTCATCCGGTGTACCTCTGGGCAGTGGTTGTACCATTTAAACAATGAGAGAGAAAGGTAATGCTAACTACTGATTAACACAGTACCATTTCAGTAATACTGTAAATATCTGCCAATAATGAACTGCAAATCTCCAAAGGGAAAAGACTTTTAGTGTGTTATATTAAAGCTTTAGCAGACAATCTTTAGCCACTGTTTGCATGTGAAAAAGCTTGTCGACGACGTATCCATCAATGAACAGCTAGCAGTTTCCAGTGATGGTAAAACCTGCATTTGGCTGAAGACAGTAACTTAAGTCTGTACCACACAATTGGTCCTTTTACTATAAAGAATCCTATTTTGACAAAACTTTAAAGCTTCTAAAGGTTGGACATCAGAAAATGTATGCAAGACAGAAGCATGGGAACATGATGCTGTAAAAGGGGGAAGAAAATAACAAAACATGGTCATTGTGGAGATGATTTTTTGTGTGTTATCACAGGACAGCAGATGAACAAGTGAGTAATTCCCCATGGTCTGCCCTTTTCCAAAGTCATTTGTGACGTTGAATGGTTTTCCTTTTCCTCCTCTTGAAAAAGCAACAGCACCTATAGAAATAAGAAGAGAGAATTAACGATGTATAACAGTAGGAAATATCTTGTTGAGGAAAACTGTCAATTATGTATGGATAGGACAGGGCATGCATCACATACATGTTCTTCTGCAAACATAACTGTTGAAAGCTACAAACTGATTTAGCTTCATACATGCCTTCATGTATGGTCTGCAATGGTCAACCAAAACATACCACTCACTAAGATGTCTAAATGAAAGGATGAAGTGGAATGGTAGCTCCATCTAGTCCCCACTATAAGATGTTAGTATTTTTGTAGTTGGCAGCTCTTGTGAGATCCTAACATGCTACTGAAATCATTATTAAGCTTGCACCATCAAAGAAAAATGAATAACCCAGAGGTAGTTCCAGTACCATTAACCCCTTCGTGACGGGAGACGTACACTGTACGTCCAGCCACAAAGGGACCAAATGACTTGTCACGTACACTGTACGTGACGAGTTATTTGCTGCTTTAGAGGGCTGTTAATCGCTGAGAATCAGCTTTTAACATTCATTAATGGATGCCCTTACTACAGAGGCATTCATTAATGAAAGGGTTAACCTTTTTCAGACACCCGATACCTTAATATCGGGTGTCTGAGAGTCAAAGCAAAGCGGACACAGATATTTTGTATCCGCAGGCTAACATATACATCACAAATTCTAAATCTGATTTCTACTGAAAACCTATTTTCTCTAACTACTCCCAAAATAATGGCTTACTGAGAAACGTCATTCAAACATTAGGCCAACTAAGATCTAGTTTTAAATACGAAGGAAAACCTGTGCTGAACAAGTTACTCCATTGTGACAAAAGCTTGCTGGTAAATAATATACTGTGCAGCTTTCAAAGATAAAATGACTTAATATAAACATTTCTTGTACTGCACTAGGTTTAAACTGTACATTAGATGGCCCCTGAATGAAAGCATCTGGTAACAGAATTTACGTTTTATCTTAGTTCAAATAGAAATGTCGTTTACAAGTGTGGCCTGCTCTGATAACAGCATTGATTCAAACAAACCTCTTGAGTGCAATATTCTTGAGTGCAATTGATTCATTGATTCAAACAAACCTCTTGAGTGCAAAATATTGTGAACTTCAGCTTTAGACATACACGTGACCAGTGAAAATGAATGGAATGCTGTGAAGGAGTGATCATTCTAAGCAGCTCTCTCAACTTGCAGAACATATAAAAATAATCCACAAATAAAGCGCTTGTTGAAAATCAAAAAGTTTGACCACATTTAGTCCATTTTAAATCTTTAACAGATTCTAAAAAAGAAAAAAACCCAAAACTGCAGATACCCAAATCCAGCGCTTTCCTTCTGCAAAATAAAATGGCTATTCTAAGGCCAGGTTTGGAATAATACCAACTGATAAGCCATAGTGGCACCAACAAAAGTTGGCATACGAGAGCCACAACTTATTTGTTCGTATATATACGAACAAATGATCTGAAACAGTTCAAGAAAAGTTGAGAGCATTGCTTTTGATTATGACAAAAAACAAAGACAAATCTTTCTGATCTGCTCCACATGTTAATATTAATTCTAAGAATTTCTCACAATGTATGCATTTATATACAACTTTCAAACTCCAAGTTCCCAGCTATTTTTTTATTTTACCAGTGCAAAATTGGCAGAATTTCCTTAAGATTTCAGTTAACGATTTAAGCAATCTAAAAACGATTTACATGTTTAATTTTGTGTGGTGTGGACCCTTAGTGGCCAATCACCAAGCCTCAATGCGGTCACACGGTTAGTCCTTATTCACACATGAGTGACATCAAATATGCATTTTGTGTCGCATGTTTTTGCACGTACATAAAGTTGCACGTTTTTAGAAGCAGATTGTGAGACATTGATATGAATGAGCTAACATGCATAAAACCATGCAAAAACACAGCTAAAAAAGCGCTTTAAGCATTTTAATTGACGTTTATGGGGCTAAGAAGTGAATAATCTTCCAAAAAGCAACTCGCATGCTTTTTTGTTTTTTTCCAGCGACAGGCGTTTCACTATAAGCGGCAAAATGTTCAAATGTTAACATGGCCATAGAAATGCATGGGAATTTTTTGGGGCAGAAAAACGCTTAGTGTGAATGATGGCTTAAGGAGTATGCTCAGTAGACTAAGTATCAGCTTTTAGGAAAAGGCTATTTTCTCCAAAATCCTTTCAGGACTGGAAGTACTGCAAATTGTTTTGTTCACAAAAAATGGGTGGAGGGTTGTTTCTTGCTTTGCTAAAGACAAGTTTCCTTCAAATCATTTGATTAGAAAACAAGCAGTTACAATACCATTTTCCATTGGAAAAATAAACAAATTAGGTTAAAAGAATGACTTAAAAGTGACCATGTATAGGAAGTTATTTTATAATTGTAGACGAAAAAAACCCCCAAAAAACTTGAGGAAGTAACCAACTGAAATAAGTGCCACCTGCAATACACAACAGAACGCACAATTACCATTCTACAAGGTCAGCCTTTATTAATAAAAGGGTTTCTACTGCCACTATTATAATAAAATTCTGTCTTATTTTAACAAATACTCATTACTCACTAATACAAATTTAGAAGGCCGTATAATTGGAAGGCAATGGTAGTTATAAAGTAGGAACAAACTAGTTTAGTCCGAACCAAATTCACAGTGTATATAGTTTTAGTGCTTCATTCCCTTAAGCAGAGGTAAACCTGTTTTTGGTCAATATAATGTAACCTTTTTTAGGTTTTCTAAGATGTCAACTTATGTTTTATGCCTGTGTGTGTGATTATCTCTCTCTCTCACACATACACGAATAAAACATGAGTTGACATCTCAGATATATATACACATACACACACACACAAATGCTGCGATACTTACCCATGATGCCAGAACTTCGGGTTAGAGGGAGATTCTCTGACCAGCAGTGGCGTGAGGGAACATGGAGCTGGCTTGCCAGCAAATCAGGAAGCCAAGCTGTGGGTAATGACTTGTGCCGCGGCTTCCCGATTGCCCGGGAAGCCAGCTCCATGCTGTTTGGCCGGGTCAATGCTAATTGGCCGGGAAGCTGGCTTCCCAGCCAATCGGCATGGAGCCAGCATCTGGGCCAATCAGGAAGCCGTGCCGCGGGTAATGACCCACCTCCCGGCTTCCTGATTGGCCAAGAAGCCGGCTTACCGGCCAAACAGCCGACTCGATGCTACCGGATGTATAGGTACTCTGTATCGGCGAGTACTGAAATATAATATCCGTACTCGATAGTGAAAAAACAGTATTGGTGTGCATATTCATGCAAAGTGAGTGAACAGAAGAAAAATCTAAATCAAATCAATAGCATCAATTCTTACACTAAGTCAGGGATTTTGTAGGATCAGAGTCAGGTGTATAAATAAACAATTATACCAAGAGCTTGCTACTGATCATTAATTTCATAGGCAGGTTGAAAAAGTAATTAAATTAAACAAACAGCTGTGTAAGAGGCTTAAAACTGGGTGAGGAAGAGCCAAACTCTGCCACTAAGGTGAGGTGGTGGAAGACAGTTTCATGTCACAGGTCATACACCATGGCAAGACTAAGCACAGCAACAAGACAAAAGGTAGTTATACTGCATGAGCAAGGTGTATCCCAGGCAAAGATTTCAAAGCAGACTGGGGTTTCAAAATGTGCTGTTAAAGCTCTTCTGAAGAAGCACAAAGAAATGGGCAACTTTGAGGACCCTAGACGCAGTGGTCGGCCAAGGAAACAATGCAGCAGATGACACATCATGCTTACTTTCCTTTAGGCACCGGAAGATGTCCAGCAGTGCCATCATTACCAAACAGGTGGAAACCAATGGGACCCAGGTACACCCATGTACTGTGTGGATAATTCTGGCCAGTAGTGGTCTTCAAGGAAAAATTGTGACCAAAAAGCCATACCTTCGACGTAGAAACAAGGCTAAGCAACTGAACTATTCACAAAAACAGGCAGCAGGTGCTCTGGACTTGTCAAAATTTGAAATATTTGGCTGTAGCAGGAGGCAGTTTGTTTCTTTGCAGTAGGGTTGGAGAGTGGTACAATAATGAGTGTCAGTAGCCAATAGTGAAGCGTGGTGGAGGCTCCTTGCAAGTCTGGGGCTGCATTTCTGCCAATGGAGTTAAAGATTTGGTCAGGATCAATGGTGTCCTCAATGCTGAGAAATACAAGCATATACTTATCCACCATGCCATACAATCAGGGAGGTGTGTGAATGGCCTTTAATTTATTCTACAGCAGTTAAACAACCCCAAACATACAGCCAATGTCATTAAGAACCATCTTCAACGTAAACAACAAGAATGTGGGAAGTGATGGTTTGGCTCCCACAGAGTCCTGATCTCAACATCAAGTCTGTCTAAGATTACATGAACAGAAGGATTTGAGGCAGCCTACATCCACAGAAAATCCAAGATGTTCGGAATAACCTACCTGCCGAGTTCCTTCAAAAACTGTGTGCAAGTGTACCTAGAAGAATTGATGCAGTTTTGAAATCAAAGGGTGGGCACGCCAAATATTGATTTGGATTTCTCTTCTGTTCATTTACTTTCTATTTTGTTAATTGATTAAAAATAAACTATTAACACTTTTATTTCTGAAAACATTCTTACTTACAGATCTTTTCACACCTGCCTAAAACCTTTGCACAGTGCTGTAATACACATACGATCAAACACACCACACCCACACTATGTTTAACAAATAGAACAGGTAATATTATGAACTATGGGTTTTCCAAACAGAACAGCAACAGTTATCTCCTTTGAGAGAGGTCATCTCTCATTGAAACCACCAACAGCCCAATTAGGAAAGAAGCCCATTTCTGACTTATGCACTTGTGGGTGTAAATTTCAGCTTGAAAAAACAGATAAGGAGAGGTAAAGGTTGATTAACAAAAGATGTAGTAGTATTAAGAAAATATGTATAAAGCAACTAGACATACACTTAGAAAGCAACGGAAGCAACGTTAAAACTAATACTTTTTCTGGAAATTCAGATTTGGCTGCCCTAGAATAAAATTTACACTTTAAATCTAAGGAATGTGTGGATAGGACAGCATGTCAAAACATCTTATTTGTTCTAGAGAAAGTGGGGAATGGTTATAGCCTATACAGGTTTTAAATAGGATGCAATGTGAAATCTCTTCAACATTTTTTTTTTTTAGTAGAAAAGGGTTAGAATTTCTAATAATGTTGCTGTCTGTGCCCTCCTGTCCCAGTAACAACTACATACACCATTCCTTGTACTGGTGTAGAGGGAAGAAGTGAAAGAAAGTCTTTCTGGGCAGAAAGAAACAAATACCTCACTCTTTCCAAAAAAACGAAATTAGGCAGATTTGTCTGACTACCTCCCGCCGGCCGTTGTGTATACACAGCCTGTTAGTCCCGCCCACTCGTGCACGCTGCGCAGGGCGCGCGAGCGGGAGAGGCACAATTTAAAAACCGGCAGCAATGCCTGTTAACATACAAGCGATCAGCCGGCTATAGAGCCGGCCAATCGCTTGTATGAGGTCCCGGTATATGCGCCCCCCCCCCCTCCGCGGCTCCCGCTTCCAGCTGTCACGCTGATCCCGGGCTCCGCTGTGCCCGGTGCGAGCCCAGGACCAGCATAGTGCCTCTTTGACAGGGGATTAGAGGGAGGTCGGTTCACGATCTCCTTCCGGTCCCCTCTCCGCATTCTCGTGTCACTCTCCAGCTTCAGATGCTGGAGAGAAGCTGATGAAGCAGATCTCTGCTTCATCAGCTTCTTCAGGGGGTTCCTAGGTGACATTAGGGGTCTTGGAGACCCCTGATGTCTCCATAAAGAGGACCTGTCACATCTTTTGCCATCACATATAGGGGTTTCTTAGCCCCCTCTGTGATAGCAATAAAGTGGAAAAAAATTAGTTTCCCCCCAAAAAAAATACATATAAAAAAAGAATTACAATTTTTTTTTTTAAAGTCCCCACCCCTACATACACGCATGTAAACATGCATCAGGTGCACATACCTGCGAAAACGACGATTGCGCCCATTACGCCAAACATGTTACATATCGCCGCGAACATCGCAGTGAGCAATAATTTTAGGGCCATCAATCACTGATAACACTAAACTGATGAGCGGTAAAAGCTTTTAAAGTGTCACCTATGGTCAATTTTGGGCATG